TATCTGCTCTTTTTAGTTGTATAATGTAACTAAATTGTTAATATCAGGATGTTGTCATATTTTGGTTAAACTAATTAACAAATAATATCTTATTAGTAATGGAGAAAAAAAGATATATAGTTTATGTTAGACTTACTAAAGTTGGCATTCAGTTGATGTGCTATTTAGTAGTGTGGACATGCAGATAAATTGAATAGGTGGTTTATGCCTCAGAACATATCTGGGGGGAAGTATTTCTTTTTATTAAATTATGTAATTTAAGCTATGATCTATTCTTGGTCCCCTACTTAGCTCCTTTGCTTTCACCACTGATCTTAACATTTTGACATCATTGTCAGTCCGCCCTGTTTTTCTCATTACTCTCTGTGTGTTACTATTTTGTATGTTCATCATTACATTATGGCTGCTGTGGAAACTTTAAGGTATTAATTTAGGGTTCTCCCATCTTTTCAGGAAGTTGGGGTTAATGTTAGGAGGCTGCACTCTAATGAAGGTGCTGAGGTTCTACCCCGGCCTGCAGTTGTAACAGTCATGGGACATGTTGACCATGGTAAAACTTCTCTCTTAGATGCTCTACGTTTTACGTCCGTGGCTGCAACGGAAGCTGGAGGCAGAACTCAGCATATTGGTGCTTTTGTTGTCAGCATGCCATCAGGAGCATCAATAACATTCCTTGACACCCCTGGCCATGCCGCATTTAGTGCAATGCGAGCAAGAGGTGCAGCAGTGACAGATATAGTTGTGCTGGTGGTGGCTGCTGATGATGGGGTGATGCCGCAAACCCTTGAAGCAATGGCCCATGCAAACGCAGCTGAGGTACCAGTTGTAGTTGCAATTAACAAATGCGATAAACCAGCTGCAAACCCAGAAAGAGTAAAAATCCAGCTTGCTTCTGAGGGTTTGATGTTGGAGGAGATGGGTGGGGATGTCCAGGTTGTTGAAGTTTCTGCAAAAACTAAAGTTGGACTGGAGAAGTTGGAGGAGGCTTTGCTTCTTCAGGCTGAGTTGATGGATCTAAAAGCACGGGTTGATGGACCCGCTCAAGCTTATGTGGTTGAGGCAAGACTTGACGGGTCGTGGTCCTTTGGCTACTGCAATAGTGAAGGCAGGTACTTTAATTTGTGGGAAGCATGTTGTTGTGGGTGGTGAATGGGGAAGGATTAGGGCAATTAGGGATATGTTTGGGAGGTCGGCAGAGCAGGCTAGACCCGGAATGCCTGTTGAGATAGAAGGGCTGAAAGGACTTCCAATGGCTGGCGATGATATTGTTGTTGTGGATTCTGAGGAGAGAGCAAGAATGCTCAGTGAAGGTAGGAAAAAAAGGGGTCGAGAAAGATAGGCTTAAAAAGCTCGAGGAAGATAGACTTAGGGAGATGGGTGAAGAATAGGAGGAGGAGACAGAGACTCCAGATCCATCAGAGGAGAAAGAGAAGACGGGGACTCCAGATCCCAGCAGAAGAGATGCCCAAAAAGCCCAAGAAGGTTGAATTGGCCATCATAGTAAAAGCAGATGTGCAGGGCACAGTCCAAGCTGTCACAGATTCCTTGAAGAGTTTGAATAGTCCGCAGGTATGAGAAATTATTTTAATAGCCAAAAACATTAATGTTTTTATTTTCAGTTGTTGACAACGCAATCTTGTTACCATGGTGGTGGTTTTTTCTTCCTATTACTGTCAGTCAGGCAGCAACTCAAGCCGGTACAAAGTTACACTGACCCTTCATTGCTAAAAATTTTAACTCTTTAAAGACGTTGAGAATCCGTTTTAACTCCTTTTTTCGCCCTGGGCTGCAGAAGTTATGCTGTAAAAACACCGGTGTATAAAGACTGAAAACTAATTACTATGTTTGTGCTTGTGTGGCCATAGATAAAAGTACATGGTGTCATATATCACCTTTTGGAGGACATTGGGAATCTGGTTGTAGAGAAGGCCCCTGGGACACTTGAGACCCAGGTAGCCGGTGAGGCCCAGGTGCTGAGCATCTTTGAGCTCAAAGGACGGAGCAAGGCCAAGGGAGACGATGTGAAGATTGCTGGATGCCGGGTGACAGATGGCCGTTTCACCAAGTCAGCAAACATGAGGCTTTTACGGAGTGGGGAAGTGGTATTCGAAGGATCTTGCTCATCCCTCAAGAGGGCGAAGCAAGATGTGGAGACAGTTGGGAAGGGGAATGAGTGCGGACTCGTGATCCAAGACTTGATGGATTTCAAGATCGGAGACATTATCCAGTGCTTGGAGCAAGTCAACAGGAAGCCCAAGTTTATTTCATCAGAGAGTGGGGCTGTTCGAATCGAATGCTGATGGTATTAAGGAGATAGTGATAGATAGTAACAGATGTCCAGATACTTGTACACAATTTGTTGCCCCTGCATTTTTGTCGAGTAGATGAAAATTCTTGTTTTTGTCTCGGTCACACATCTTGATTGTTGCAGCAGGGCAAGGTCATTTTCCTAAGACGTGAGTGCTGCCCTCATAGTCCTGCCATAGAACTAGTGCAGTAATTATATATGTTAGGTTGTAATTTTGGGGAGTGAATGTTTTCATTAGGGGTGCCGACATACAATTTTGTTGTACAAATTCTGGCTTATTTATGACTTGAACTTTTCAATTGTATACAGGATGTTATACGAGTCCATTTATATTGTTTGTTTGATCTTATTTTTGTTTTTGATTGCTGTTGTTATTGGTGATTGATTGATTTGAAATCATCGTGTTCCATAACCAGATGCAAACTGAAGCTCATAAGAGTTTGATTTCATAAGAGAATTAGAATTTTGCATCCAAACCTAAATAAAATTACTCTGAAGTGATAGTAAAGAAAAATGAATAGTCGCCAAACTTAAATGCGGATATGGTCACTTCTTCCAAGGAATTAGGACAAATTTACCCACTCTCTCTCTCTCTCTAAAACAACACTTCCTCTCTCTCTAAGTTCGTCAACCAATGACCGATTGGACGTCCATGCTTCTACTCTTAAGGGATGAAAAACGGTTCAATCTAGTGTATTCATGGTGGTGCTGCAAGTGAAAAAACAGATGTGGGGAAAAAGTAATATGCAAACCACTACTTTCTGTCTACTCAGTCAGGAGAGCATCAAGCAAAAACTATCCCAACTAATAATGCTCAAAGACAAAAGGAACATCACACCTTCAACCAAACATAAGAAGAGAAACATTTAAAAATATAAAGTTTATTATGCCATTTTGCTTTTCCTTCTCGTTTTAATTTTCTTTTAAAAAAAAGTAAATAAATACCAAGGTGAGTTTAAGTAATTATCTTTTTAAATGTTGTCTTTTATCATTAAAATTGCATCATAAAAGTTGTTTTCTCTTTTATCTTTAAAATTAGAACAGAATATCTATTCTTTTATGATTTAAGAAGGTAACGTTGAATATTTAAGAAGGTAACGTAGCTTGTTTTTTTAAAATTGAGGCAGACTACAGACTGATATATTTTATCACTCTAATTGTGGATACATGAATAATTCTTATTTGACACTTTGACTCGCTAATACTCGTGGCGATTTAATATCACGAACGAGACTTCTTCCTATATATAAATAGTTTTTATATTACGTATGAGATCTCTTCTTATATAAAGACATTTTTCTTACCCATGGACGCTTGGGATTACTATAATTAATGGTTAAGTAATCTATACAATCACAAAATTATATAGAACCTTCTACTCTTCTAAAATCTTCATCAATTATAACTTTTACAAACTCTTTAATATTCTATAATCCTTCATTCCTATGTACACTGTTTTATAATCTTCACACATTGTTAAAGACTCTAGAAATTAATTCCATTGATACCATGCAGAGTCCTTCTCCGGGTGTCACTTGCACGGCACATACCTCATGCAAATAGACGGGGCATAACATTTTGCTTGCTTTAACTCTTTGATTCAATATTTGCTGCGTTAAAATTACCGTCTATTCACAGAGATCACCATGCATTTTATACTTCAAAAGTAACTATATATATATATATATATATATATATATGACACATGGATTTGTGACCAACACAAACACATCAATAGGGATGGATCCAGCAAATTAGGAAGGGTACTTTTAACAACAATAAAATAAAAAATGTTTTGGGGACAACAGTAGAATTTTTTTGTCAAATTAAAGTTTTATAGGCACATAATATGCGAGCTGATACTGTTAATTATAAGAAAAATTTTGTAATTTAAAATCTTTTATAATAGTCTTGTGTTTTTTTTTTTCGGATGTCTTCCGTACATATTTGTAGAGTTGGAAATTTGTGAAAGAGGAAAAATGACTCATTCATGTGATTTTTTCTTCTCTCCTTGCCTCCTCTCTACCAAACGCAAAAACTTTGTTTTTTCCGTCGTGTTTTCCCTCCATCCCTCTTCTTTGCTACCAAATGGAGCATAGGGTTAAAAATCCATTGATATATTATAATAATATATATATATTTTTTCATCCGTGTGATAATACTTAAAATGCAAGGAAATGACCATGATGTTAACCTTTTTTACCATTAAATTTGTTTTATGACAAGAATGGCAAACATCGAAGTTTAAAAATAAGAATTTCAAATCTATTTGTTAATCTTTCAAAAACGACAAGAAGCTGGGATTCTTATTTGTTAATCTTTAAACAATTGTTAATTATATATATATACACATATATATATATATAGATAGGCGATGCTAACCCTCACCCTTTCTCAACTCTTTTACAAACTGCATCTGATTTATCATCAAACTAATTTATTCAGCCAGCATTTCCACAACTCAACTCCTGAAGAATCTTCTGAACAGAGCATCCATCACCTGTGGATTACCTTCACAGACTTCACCATTTGTTTGAACTTTTTTATTATTGAGTTCAATAACTAATGAACCCTGAAATCAACTTTGATTATGTCCTCTTGGGAGAATAAGAAGCCCAAAATTTCATCATCCTATAACCCTGCATCTTTAGCAAAGCTTATTCATGCTAGGATCAACAAACAATTATTATTATTATTATTTTTTACCCCAAAACTATAATTCATGAATTGTAGTTAAACTTCTTTGTTATGGCATTGTAATGATCGACACATTTTCACTTAAAAGTTTACAGATAAATCTATAGGCACCCAACAGAAAGGGTATACCCAAGCAAGGATTCTTCTTCCAAAAGTAGAAACACAAAATAAACAGGTCAATCAACCACACTGTCATACCTTTCAAGGACCTAATACTTGATTTTCCAAAGTAGAGAGGAATGTGAATCATTGATTGCATACTGCAGCGCAGATGACTCGCCTTTTCCCTTTTCATGTGCCCTCAATATAGACTGCAAAAAGGATAGCAACTCCTTGTGTCGTGATTGTTTTCTCTTCAATACTCGGATGTAAGCGAAAAATCCAAGCCATACAATCTCTTCCTTCTCCACTTGGAGAATTGGATGGAAATTAGAATCGATTTTCACAGAATGCATCCTTCTCTTTATGAGCTTGTGCATATATCTGACAATCAACAAACCAGAATGAGAGTTTAACTGAGCATAAGAAGAGTACAACAGAAAAATAGAAAAATAGAAATATTTTGATAGTTCAGTTCTCCGACTTAAGAATCTAGAAATTTTCTTATTACGAAAAAGAACTCGAAAGATACATATGAAGGAAAACAAATTTCTTATTTTTTTTTATGGATTTAAACAAGACTGATACTTTATAAAGCATCAATAAAGGTGTTTCACATGACCAACCCAAATTTAGTGATGCTACTAATATCAGGGCAGCATTAAGAAGAAGATGTACCTTATAGACTTCTCAATATATTGTACATATGTTTTCACGCTAAGCCTGCAGGTGTTTGACAAGTCACAGACATAACAATGGAACTTCATTGCACATAGCAAAAAAGCTTGATAAATATTTAATCTGACAACTCCAGCTGAATTGATATTTGAATCGTAGAATATGGGATGGCATTTAGGTCGCAGGTAATCACATAACTTTGCCTTCAAACAGCGACCGGGTTTCCCTTGCCAGCACACAGTAAGAGTTGACCTTAGATGTGTATTAAGATACCTGGCCAGTAGAGGAGCAGTTACTTAGAGGGTAAAAAAATTGTAGATTGCGGATAAATTTCTCAAACAAATTGTTGACGGTTTCATCATCGTCGTCTTTGTTTTTATCCCGTATAAATGGGTTGGCTGACAGTCACATTATGATTGTTATACAATTTTTCAGATTCTTAAGAGGGGCAACTAGCAGAACAAAATGACAAGAGTGATGTCTAAATTTATATAGTGGAGCACATGAGGATCTATTTAACGCTAAGTCCCTAATTCTAAACACACAAAAAAATCTATTTAAAAAGCATCCCAAGATAATAATTTCGTAATTTTATTTGTGTGTTTAGAATTAGCGACTTAGCATTGACACTTTGTTGTTACCATATTAATTGATTATATCTGATCTGGTCAAATTGATATATAAAACAGTTTCAAATTTTGACAAACTTCATAACTTAAACCAATATTTGCATTAGTGGAATCTAACTTCTGATTTTTACAGACTTACCATTGAATCAGAACAATGGAATGTCAGCTTTCGCTGATAATCTTGCTTGCAATTAGGGGCAATACTAGCAATCTGCAGAACCTATAGAATTTTCTAGTTCACCTTTGTTCACCTCACTGTCTGGTCCTTTTCCTTTATTTTTTTCCCTTGTTTGGTGGGGGTGGAGGGATTTGATGTCTATGCGTCTGGTCTTGGTATACCTTAGAAATACTCATCCACTTCAGCCACAGAAACACTTTAGCAAATCTAATTTCTTTTAAAAGACCATTATTTGGAATTTATCCCAATTTCAGTATCATCCAATGTTAGCACATGAAATTTTCAGGACTAATTTGTGATTAAAGATCTGGCAAACTTCATTATTATGCAGATTTACATGTCATTTGCTAATGTAGAATATAGAATAAAGAAGATGATGAATAATAAAGAAGCATGTCCAACTCCATCAAGCTTCCCTAATACTGTATTTAATGTCCTTAAAAGTTTGCTGTCATAACAGAAATTGCAGCAATCACAAAAATTCATTCAGATACAACATCAAATATTGAAAAATTTGATCAAAGAGCTATAGTAACTTCATCTTATTTCGGGCATGAAAAGCCCACATAGAAGGAGGAAGCAATTATTGTACCTTCACTATACTTCTTTTGTTGTGATACTCGCCAAGAAGGCATGGAGATGTGTTTCTGGCAAACTACTACGAATAACAAAAAAAAAAAACAAAAACTTGGAAGAATAGTTTTTTCCTCATCTACACCCAAATTATTCTAAGCTTAAAACTTGGAAGAATATGTTCAATTCCACCCTCACTATAAAGAACCTAAGATCAGTGCGTTTTTTTCCGGATCCAAGGGAAACTATATATGTATGATAGGAAATTGAAGAACTCAAAAGCAATGGACCACAACAAATTTAATAAATTCATTGACACATGCTCCTAACTTCTAGTTCTTTATGCTGAGAGAATAACTAGAACCTATCTCTAGTATGCTAGCTTAACCTCACGTCTATGCTAAAACCTGAAATTGTAAGACGATGTTTGGTCATGAAGAAAGTGGTTATCCAATGGACAAGAATCTTTCCGGAGTTTCAAGAATAAGCCAGAACAAATTCAAAAGAATGAGATGGTAGGAGACGCCAGGAGGGGAGTTTGATAATTCATAACATGTAGAATTATATGCAATATGTCAATATCAAGTTATGTATGCTTGAAGAAAAAGATGCAGGATTATTGTATTTCATCTATCTAATTTATATAATACTCTTTATGGACGCGATACTTAAGCTACCTGTCATCATTTTAGGTGACAGACGATACTAATAGCATCAAAATAACTTGACCTATTACTGATCTGGAATTTGATTCTCAAATCCCCCTACATGGACAAAACTATAATTTAATTTGTTTCTTTTATGATTAAAGTGCTCCAGTTAGCATAATCAGTAACTTATCTTAGGGTAAATTACACTGGCCTCCCCCTAAGGTTTGACATAATTATTGGGACCCTCCCTCTTGTTTCAAGAATAAAATTGACCTCCACTGTCAAATAATTATGTTAAATGGAGTAAGGAGATTGTCGTTTTACTATTTTACTCAAAAAAAATATATAGTGAAACTCTTTGTTTCCCTTCATGTTTGTACTTCACAGGTCTACTAGAATTGAAAAGATAAATTTTAAGAATTTATCTTATCTTAAAAAATAGGATACGAATACGAAGAACACAAGAATATATATATATTTTTATGAATTTATATATGTATAAAAATCAATATATGCATGGGTAAATTAAATAACAATTGTTTATGTTATATATACTGTTATTAACATTTCTTTATATAATATTACAATTAACAAAAAAACAAGTTTTTTTTTCAAAGGTAAGAAACAAAACAAGAGATTATGTCTACTTCTTTGATGCAGCGGGTTTATACCCTGTCTACTTGAAGACTCATCTCAGTCTTCTTTCACATTCACATATATAGTGAAACTCTTTGTTTCCCTTCATGTTTGTACTTCACAGGTCTACTAGAATTGAAAAGATAAATTTTAAGAATTTATCTTATCTTAAAAAATAGGATACGAATACGAAGAACACAAGAATATATATATATTTTTATGAATTTATATATGTATAAAAATCAATATATGCATGGGTAAATTAAATAACAATTGTTTATGTTATATATACTGTTATTAACATTTCTTTATATAATATTACAATTAACAAAAAAACAAGTTTTTTTTTCAAAGGTAAGAAACAAAACAAGAGATTATGTCTACTTCTTTGATGCAGCGGGTTTATACCCTGTCTACTTGAAGACTCATCTCAGTCTTCTTTCACATTCACATATATAGTGAAACTCTTTGTTTCCCTTCATGTTTGTACTTCACAGGTCTACTAGAATTGAAAAGATAAATTTTAAGAATTTATCTTATCTTAAAAAATAGGATACGAATACGAAGAACACAAGAATATATATATATATTTTTATGAATTTATATATGTATAAAAATCAATATATGCATGGGTAAATTAAATAACAATTGTTTATGTTATATATACTGTTATTAACATTTCTTTATATAATATTACAATTAACAAAAAAACAAGTTTTTTTTTCAAAGGTAAGAAACAAAACAAGAGATTATGTCTACTTCTTTGATGCAGCGGGTTTATACCCTGTCTACTTGAAGACTCATCTCAGTCTTCTTTCACATTCACATATATAGTGAAACTCTTTGTTTCCCTTCATGTTTGTACTTCACAGGTCTACTAGAATTGAAAAGATAAATTTTAAGAATTTATCTTATCTTAAAAAATAGGATATAAATACGCAAGAACACAAGAATATATATATATTTTTATGAATTTATATATGTATAAAAATCAATATATATGTATTCATGGGTAAATTAAATAACAATTGTTTATGTTATATATACTGTTTTTAACATTTCTTTATATAATATTACAATTAACAAAAAAACAAGTTTTTTTTTGAAAGGTAACAAACAAAACAAGATATTATGTCTACTTCTTTGATGCAGCTGGTTTATACCCTGTCTACTTGAAGACTCATCTCAGTCTTCTTTCACATTCACATATACCCTAGCCAGATTTTTCTCTCCTTTTCTGACTTTTATAGTGATCATCATTGATCACTCATCCTATTGTACCTTATTGTTCTATTTGTATAAATAAAATTACAAACCCATTCAGTAAAAAAAAAAAAAAAGGGTATTATCATATTATATCTCAAAACAAGAGTTGAGAGTTATATTGCATAGATAAATTTTGGACTAAATCATGATATATATCTCAATACTTCTTTTTTGAATAAATTTTAAACTTTTCTTAACAATTATATTATGATATTATTGTTGAAAGAGTTACATTTTAATGTTCAATACTAGTTAAATATGTGTTCTAAAATATTTGAGAAGCATCGGATATGTGGTCGAAGTATCTAAGAAGTATCAAATACGTGTTAGAAATAATATATTTTAAAAGTATGAATATGTTTAGGAAGTAACAGGTACGTACTCATGAGTATCCGAGAAGTGTCGGTATCAGACGCAAATACGATATGGGTACGTCACTCTTGTATAAGTATCCATGATTCCTAGTTGTAGACGAACGACTCATGAAACTTTGACAAAAGTTACAACCCAAGTTCTTGAGTAAGAAATTGCCAACACATGACTCATATTCCTAATATTCTCCCCCTTTCGGAATTCCATAACAAAACTTAAAACTGAACATTCAGAAGACTATTGACAAAACCGAAAACCAAATCATCGTTACATGTACGTAAATAGGAATAGATAAAAATACTTAATCTTTTGCAAGATCATCTTGATAAACTTCAGTTATGCTCTGCTCTGTTGCCAGCAAATATACCCAAGAGTACTACTGTGAAACAAAGAATATGAAAACACGATGTATGTATAATAACGCGAATACAGAATAAAGCATGAATAACAAAGCTTTATAATACTTAAACGCTTGAAACATTTCTCACATCTCTCCCCTTAATGAAACATCCCAAATTTGTACTAATTTTCCCCCATTTTGTTATGTGTGGAAGTTTCTTAACCTTTAGGGCTTTCCAGCTTATAAAACCAAGATTTAGTTTTTCATGTAAAATATATAAAAAAATGCTACCAACTTAAGGGGTCATTGCCTAGTCCAATTGACAAGTATGAGATCCCAGTTTTGAAACTGAAGGCAGCCACTTTGTGTAAAACAATATCAAAGTTTAGGTATGTCTTAAAACATTGCCTCCCAGGCTACCCGCATAGGCATGACATATAATTGGTAACAGACTCTTAATTGCAGTAGAATAATTAATATCTAATAATTACCCATATTTAATCGATTGAAAAATATGTGCATTTTTAAATATATATAAGAATGATTCTCTTTTAACAATTTATAATTGTCATAAAAATTGCTTTTTATTTTTGTTATTCAGAAAATTTCCATGATTTTTCACATATTTAAATTGCATTACGGATACATGCCCTATGTCTCAGCCTATATTACGTCAAAGCAGTATACTAAGAACCATGATACCAAGACCAATTTCATAAAACCATGCTGGTTATCCACTTGAAACAGAACTGCACAATGATATAAATGATGCACAAGATAATGCATTTAATAAGATAATCACAAAACTGACCAGAACAACAAAAGAAAGTAACCTTGTGTAGTCAGCCTGAACTTCTAATGTGCAGCAGTTGATAAGCAAACCACTCCATTGAAGAAATGAGACATCATCTTCTCCCACACAAACCCTGTTCGATGTAAGCCCAGACATCTGGCCAATATCAAAATTCAGGCCAAATTTTTTCTCATTCATGTAGCAGTTGTATTCACTGAATCCTCCTTGCAATCTGGATAAGAACTGAGAAGCCTGTTCCCTTGAGGTAGAGACAAAAAGGAAGTCGTCAATAAACCTAAGTAGCAGTGATTTAGAAGACAATGAAATGATTTCATCTTCACTCCTCCCAAAAGCATCACTATTACTCTCTCTCACTGATAAATCTTCAGTGGCAGGTTCACTAGCCTTCCCAAGCAATGGAAATATTAAATTCTTTTCCAAATGTCCCAAGTAAAATGAGCAGAGCAGAGAAGATAAAATACTTCCCTGGGATATACCGACATCTTGCAGAAAAAACTTTCTATCTAATTGCAACACATTGTGCTTCACATGCTGATATAGTTTAAAATAAAGCTCTTCTTTCCTTGTAATTCTGCTCCACTCCTGAAATATTAGTAGCAGTAAATTATAAAACAACCATTCTTCTTAATAAAAGATTTTAAAGAAAAATCTCAAACCTAGCTTTGTTTGATTCATACTAGCACGATACTTTTCAACAGATGGGTTCCCACAATGGACTGTAATTTGTCTAGCTCAAACATTCACAGCACCTGTTTCAGCTAGACACCTGTATTTTTATTTTGTTCTTATTTATGACCCAACTTGTGACCAAAAAGCATCATTTGACCGTCACTCATAGACAAAGCCTGGAAAATAATTTTCAACTATGCCGCTGGGTAACCAGACCAGGCACAATAACAGATTGAAAAGAAATCACAATGTGATAATTTTGAAAATTTCTATGCATAGAAGTTACCCTGCAGGGGCCAAAAAGAGCTCACTACTGTCTTACCAACCTTCCACAGGGTTACAGCCCATAGGTTCTACTCCAGGAGTTCAGGAGAGTGGTTCCTCCTTTTCAGTAATTTATTAAAAACATGGAGCACTTCATTTTTTTTTCTTTTCTTAATAATGATAATAAAGGACCACAAACCATGGCCACAATGCTAAAGCCGATACAGGTATGGTATCCTAGGCCAACCCGGAAGAAACAGATAAGAATAAGCAATGATGGAGCCCTCTAGGCAGAGCTCAGATTATATTACTTAGAGAAGTAAAGAAACAGACTGATTATACTGACAACATATGCAACTACTAAGAGAAAATTTAATTAAAGAACCAAGTATTCTGTGACAGCAACAGGGATAATGAAAGTGGACAATTCTTTCGCTCAACTTAAAAGTTTGATGAATGGGTACATGTGATGGCTTGCATATATTATCATTCTTAATGAGGTTCACAACATACTTTTGCAGATATATATCAATATTTCCCCTATGACCAAAAATCTTGCCAGTAAGGTCTCCTACTAGCTCCGGTCCAAGAAGCATGGATATGGACACGAGATAAAGACATGACACAACATGAGGCAGACACATTGATAAGACAAATCTTTAAAAAGTAGGACAAGGTCGAGACAAGGACATGGAAACATAATTTATGTTTTTAAATATAAAAAATATATAATATATGATAAATAAATATTATAAAATTTTCTGACATGACATAACATGAGGCAGACACATTGATAAGACGAATCTTTAAAAAGTAGGACAAGGTCGAGATGAGGACATGGAAACATAATTTATGTTTTTAAATATAAAAAATATATAATATATGATAAATAAATATTATAAAATTTTCTGATTTATATATCATATTAAATATAATCACCATGCTGCATACAAGATAACATTACACAGACGAGACATAATAGAAGCAACTTTTTGTATAGGCATGTAAATGTGTTTATGTGTTTACATATACATAGTTTATTATTTCATACTCAAATAAATCCTTAACCAGCACATTCAAGGTTGATTAGTCACAACATATCATGTGTTAAAAAAATTGTCGAGTGTCATTATTATTAAAATTATAAACAAGTCAGATGTGTTAGACACTTGACCAAGCGTGTCCAAGAAGTGTCATTCTGCAATCTGTTCAATACAAAAACAACTCCTCCTTATAAAGGTTCATGTTAGGATACTGTTAATGACTCAAATTTCTCAGTCAAGTTAAGCGTTTAGCTTAGAAACCTTTTCATGTTCTTAATGTTAAAAACATATATGCGCATAAGCAGTAAGGGTTGCCTTTTAATCCTTCTATTTTACAGAATATGTTTAATATGGTTTACTTATACCAAGTCTCAATCAAGGTTCCGGCAAATCTAAAAGTTACCAGGTGACCACTACACTCTGCAAAAGTGACTACTTGAGTTTGCATACTTTCCCTCAACTTGAATGACTTCAGCTACTGAAAGTGGGCATCAAGTAAACCATATCTTTCAAATTTTACAACTAAGAACCTGGTTAGTTGTACAATCCACGAAGCAACTTCTTCAGTCTGCATACTTTCACTCCAATTCGAACTACTTTAAATAAGGAAGATGTCCTCAAGTAACTTTATCTTCCAAATGTTCATTAAGACATCAAATTGTCCACTGACTGTTGAAACTAGTAGCTTAAGAGAACAAGACACATTGAAGTCATCATGTCTGGTGAAGCAAAACTGTCAGCTATCAAATCCATACATTTAAGTTGATTCATTAGCAACTAGCTTCTCCTTGTAGCTCCCAATGGCACCACAGTACCACCAGATGCACTAAATTTATGTAAGGGATGACGTCATGGTGACATCATCATATTTATATCCTTTACTGACTATTTTATGTGAGTGGAGGATGACATCATCATGACGTCATCATATTTAATGACGTCATCCCTTACTCACATAAATTTAGTCCGATGTGTCCTACCCTCGAACTCTGTCTCATTACTCAATAAGAATAATGATAGCTTCTCCTTTGTAACACACTCCAAATGCTCGGGTTTCGTAAATTGAGGTTCGGGGCGTGACATCTTCACCCCTCACAAAGAGGATCATCAAAGTTCCACATTCCATTTTTCCTTCACATGATGTACTTCCATTTAGATTCTGATTGAAAAGTGATGGGATGATCGAAAAGTGAGAAACTTTGTACATCTCCCTTTCTGATGATTCTTATTACCTGCTATATTTTGAATTTAAATTTCAGTTAAGTTAGTTTTAATCCAAAATTGTTTAAATTTTTTTTTTTTTTTTTTTTTCTGATAAGTTAAAACATTGTTTAAATTTGGTAATTAGTTCTACGAGACCTATTCACCACCCCTTCTCTAGGTGTAGATCAAGGACCTTGCACAACTCTTCATCTGAACCTCAAGTTCCTTGCTTTGTCCCATCAATTTTAATACCCATCTCAAAGTGAATTAATATGGTACACTTATTTGCGATGACATAATTCGTAATTTAGGAAAAGAAAAAAATGAATAGCACTACTATACATACATATATATATATATATATATATATATATATATATATATATATATATATATATATATATATCATGTCCAACTTGCTTCAGCCACTAACGGGAACAAGAGTACTTTGGTTGTAAACCTAACTGTAGATTTTAATCTTGATTAATCACCTAAGACGCCTTGCACCATTTTTATTTTTTTATTCACTAACCAAGAATGTGATGCCCATCCAACAATCAGGAAGTACGTCGCACAATTTTATTTGGCACCGAATCCAAAATTATATTTGTAGATGATAACAATTAGAAATCTCACTGAAACACACATTAGATGCATGCAGAATACTGAAGACTACCTTCTCACTCATAAATCTCACAAAAATAATTATCAGAATTTGTCTAAAAGTAACTCAAATGTATTACCTGGTCAACAATGACGCAGTGCAATGAAGAACTACAACTAGAATTTGTGAAATTTGTAGATCCAGCACTGGTATCTTGGTTCATTGATATTAGCTTCTGTTGAACCCACAATGATTTCTTCCCACAGACAACATGATGAGACTTTTTCAGAAGATATTGACCATTCGGTATGACATTCTTCATTACGCTAAGCAGCTTATCCTGATTAACAGAATCAAAAGCTTTTGATACATCAGCTACGACAAAAAAAACACTAGGCACAGTATTCGATCCACTCTTCAGCACAGAAAAGAAAGGGCATAGCTTTCTGTACACATCATTATAATTGAATACTGATGAGCCTAATTTCCCTGGTTCTTTCATCTGTAAACCTTTTAAGACAGCATGCAAATCATGAAGGACACCATTTACAGACTTGAAATACTCATAGATAGTATTCTTTTTATAAAAAGGATCCTTTCTCTTCAGCCCAAAAGATCGAACATTGAAAGAAGATCCTTTAGCTGGTATTCTTGATGCCGCTTTAAGATTTGCTAGTGCCCTTACTTCATTTCCTTTTGGAAGAAGTCTGACCCTTGAAAAACCAAATGATCTGTTTCTTATAACTTTTCTAACATACTCATTGTTTAATAAATGATAGCTCTGTTTTTTAAAGCAAGTGACAACTCTGTTCATCAGCTTCTCCCAAATTGACTTCCGATAATAAAATGCATCTTGTTTACCATGTTCACTTTCAGTCACATAGAAGTTGGCTCGCACCAAGGGCACCACGAGACAAGAAAAGAACCAAAGGATCCAGCTTTCTAGGATTTTACGCTTCACTGCATGCATGTCATCATTCACTTTGCTGCATCCTCCTTTTCCATTGTTCAAAACATGATCACTCAAGCAACATGAAGAATGTTTATTTGATAGAAATGGAAACCTTGATGTTTTCAACTTATGCATACATTGTTTTACAGAGAATTTCTCGAATCTTCGTAAGCTGATAAACCTAAAAATATTTTTCCTTAAGATTCTCCAATTAGAAGAAGTTCCGAGCATATCCGGAGGAACTATACTCCTACAAACTGCCCATATAAAAGACACCACCTGCTTTTTTTGGCAATAAGACTTACTTGGATTAAACTGATGATCAGTCATTTCTGGAGTTCCATCGCAAATTGTAGAATCAAAACCATGCAAATTTTCAAACGGCAACTTGCCTTCCAGGTGAACCCCATATTGTCCATTCTCAAGTGATTTTCTCACAGATTCATTACCCTGGAAGAAAAAAGAAACCTTAGATAAAGTTCAATTGTAATTAAAATGGAAACACATTACTAAAAGATAAATTTATGGACCATGAGTGGCATTAAATAAAAAAATATCAGTTCATTTAAGCTGATGATAATTTGTGGCATTATAATTGTAAGCTTTCTTTCTTTCTTTCTTTAGACAAAAAAAGAAAGAACATTCTTTTGTATTAGAGGTAAACATGCATTCTTAATTTAACCTTTCTTAAACCAAATGATAACATAATTAAAGAGGAGAAAATGAGGGCACAACAGAAGGATGAGAAGACCAACAAACAATTGGGGGAAAAAAAAAATTGAAAGGAACTTGCAGCCTCGACAACCTCATGGGCCAAACACTCCTCAAGGAGACTTAAATGACCTTTAAACCATGCGAAGTTGATTCCCCTCTTTTGGTAGTTCATATTATCTTCCTCTTCATTGGCTGCAACAGAAATCCAAGTAAAATCTAATTTTTGCAGACCCAAGTAAGATTAGCACAGCCTTGTTTTTGACACCCATTTTATTATGTGAATAGAATCTACTTCTATCAAACAATGATGACAGGCCGAAGAATGAGCAAAATGTCTGCATTACACAATTTCTTCGAAAACCAAGAAGTTTCCCCAATTCGATATATAATTCTCCTTAAAGAAGCTTTGAAACCCTAAAAAAGAAAATTCTTTTAGCGAAGGAAACGTTCTCCAAAGTCCTATACATCAAGCTTACTCAAAGAATTTATGAAGGAGACCCCAAGAAACGTAAAATTGACATATTGCCCCTGACTCTTCCTTCAAAGAACTATAGACAGGATTGCCCGATTTTCTGGTAGTTATGGTGGTGTTTGTGATTCATTTTGAAGTTGTTTAAGTGGACTTTTCTTTTTTTGGGAACCTATGTCCACCAATATCTGCACCAAGATCCACAAAAGCATTAGCATACTAGGAGGAAAAGAAGATTGAATGACGAAGCTCTGAATCATGCCATTTTTTCTTTTCTTTTCTTTTCTTTTTGTCTTTTTTTATAATAGCTCTATTGTTTGAAACTCTTACATCCACTCCATAATAACCAATACAATCAGGGACACAGACAAATCCATGCAATTTACCATCATCCGTGTCTTATTGTCATTGGCTAACATTGACTATTAGGAAAATGCTGAAACAAATTCTGGGAGTCTAAGAATATAGGATATAAACAGTAAACAGCTAAAGAAATGATCATTAGGATGTAAATAATAGCTGTATTTTACTATTCAGAAGTTTAAAGCATAAGACGCGGCTAGAAGCTCCTTTAAGTAATAAAAAGACAAAAAACATGATTAATTTTTTTTTTCTACCCTCATCCACAGCCAGGAAAAATAAGCATAAACATTTTTTTATCTGGACTACAAACCTCAAAAATGGAGCCAACATGTCCACTAGCATTTTGATCCTGAGATGGAGTTGCACAATGCCTGTCTAATAACTTCAAATGCTTGCCATAGCGAGCCTTGCGTATAAGAATTTTGAGTGACTTAATGATTGAGTGATATCTGGAGGAACAAGAACAATCAATTATAACAGAAATACTAAAAGGGAGCTTAATCCATGAAAAACAAAAAGGAACAACAAATCTTGCACTTTTTAACCACAGAAATGACAACACATCACATCTCAACAGAATGAGTCCAGACATTCCAGTTTCAGAACACCTAAATGAGACTTTTAAATAGCATCAATCTATACATTCAAATTAGAATTACGCTCCTTACACTTGTTAAACATCAATTTCCTTTGTAGACATCTGAATCGTTTTAGCCATCTTTCATGTGTTCAGGCCATGTTCTGGAATTTATCAATATATTTTCATTTGCATAAAAACTTGGAAGTGACTGCAAATATGTTGTAAGCATAGTCCTGGATATAGACATCACACAAGTCATACGACATTGACCCACCTGAATGACAAATACTAAAAGTATGACAGACATGGAGAGCACACCACAATAAAATTAATTTTCAGGATGAGCTGACACACCACATTGAGCCCACACCTTTTTGCCGCAGTTATGGATGAGTTGACATGACACGTTCAAGATGAGATTCTATGGTTTATGTTATTCGCTCTTGATGTTGTCTTAATTGATGAGACTACAGGAGTCGATACCAAATTGGAGGTTTGGAAGAAAGCTATAGAATTAAAAGGATTTAAAATAAGTAGAAATAAACTAGGGGAAAATAAGTAGAAATAAAACTGAATACAAGAAGTATAATTTCAATAATCCTAGAAATACAAATGGGAATATACTGAATATTGAGGATCAACAGGTATAAAAAAGTGAACATTTTCGTTATTAGGCTCAATTACCCATAATGTTATGTTAACCATAGAATCAAGGTAGAATAGGTTAGATGGAGGAGTGCATCTAGCATACTGTGTGATCAGTGAATCCCATTAAAACAACTATTAAACCAGTCGTACTGTAACAACCCACTCCACCACATGGTATGATATTGTCCTCTTTGGGCCCGAGCCCGCACGGTTTTGCTCTTGAGTTTTACCCCAAAAAGCCACATACCAATTGGAGTGACACACCTACATATATAACATTTCCCCTTTCCACACCCAGGCGATGTGGGATTGTGCACCTGTAGCTCGCCGTAGTTTGCCAGTGCCTTTTGCACCCGCCCACAAAGTCGCCACAATCACCCCCCCCCCCCCCCCCCAAGGGCCTAACGTTCCCATTGGCCACACTTCCTGCTAGGTCAGGCTCTGATACCATTTGTAACGACCCACTCCACCACATGGTATGATATTGTCCGCTTTGGGCCCGAGCCCGCGCAGTTTTGCTCTTAGGTTTTACCCCAAAAGACCTCATACCAATTGAAGTGACACACCTACATATATAGCACGTCCCCTTTCCTCACCCAGGCAATGTGGTATTGTATACCTGTAACTCGCCCAATGTGGGAGCCTATCAGTGCCTCTTGCACCTACCCACAAGGTCGCCACACGTACTCTATGGGACAGATTGTTTAACAGCTAGGAAACACCATATACGTATAGTGAGAGTGGCAAAAATGTGAATGTTGAGATGGATGTGTTGTAAGATAAGAAAGGGTAGAATTAGAAATGAACACACTCGAGAGATGGTTGAAGTAACACTAATTGGAGATAAAATGAGAAAATCGACTAAGGTAGTTTGGATACATGCAAAGAAGACCATTAAGCGTGCCAGTTAAAAAGAGTGACATGGTCCAAGTTAAAGCTTGTGCGAGCAAAATTAGAAGGCGAGGCTATTGGGCATTGGAGGAGTAAAATTAGAAGGTGGAACCAATGGCATCGGAAGGGTAGGAGAAAAGAAGGAAGGCTCCCCATCAAGAGCAACTATGAGATCAAGTAACAAACTCTGGCCAAATGATGGAAAGAAAATTATGGACTCAAAAAAGGTAACATCAGCAGATTCAGCACTTACAAAGTATTACCGAGACTCAAAACTGTAACAAGGATACCCCTTCTAAGTGTGGGAATATCCAAGAAAACAAATTGACAAGCATACTCAGACAGTTTGTCTCCACTAGGATCCGAGGTACGAACAAAGACTACACAACCAAAAATACGAAGAATGAACTGAAGAGGAGACACCAGGGTATAAAAGAGAAAAGGGAATTTGGTTACTCACAACAGCAGAGAGCATACGATTAATGAGACAAAGGTAGTAAGAACCGCATCAGCCCAATAATGTTTTGGCAACTGCATAGTGAATCACAAAGTACCAGTAACATCCGATAGATGGCAATACTTTTGTTAAGTAACATCTAATGTTTTGAAAGTGGATGGAAGAGTAGTTTGTGAAGCCTGAATAATCTTGCTAAGTTGAGTGGTGAGTGTATATCACAACAACCATAATCAAGAACTTATGTCCAAAGGTGGAACCAGGTTGCAGTAGTTGTGAATCTGGCTTGTCATATTTGCCCAAAAAATAAAGTTTAGAATGACTGTACCACCACAATGATCACACATCCTTTCACCACGTCCACTAGAACGGCCACCATAATGAAAACCACAACCACCAGGTCCATAACAAGAACCACCACAACCTTCCACTACTACAGACCAAGGCAGAAAACAATAGAGGAGTTACAGTGGAGCTTTGTCCCAAAGATGACCTCAATAGTCGAGAATAAGCACTCAGGGGTGCAGGTAACTTCTCGCTAGAGAAAATCTCATTTAAATCATAAAAATTAAAATCTAAACCGGATAGCAATAAAACAATCACAAACTCCTCCCAATGACCCTTCTATATGCAAAATCAGTAGAGAATGGTTGATGTTGTAATAACTGATCCCACAATTTTTAATAGTACAATAATACACAAATTGTGGTTTCCTGAACTACTTGGTAGTGAATACTTCCCACTACTGTTCCAAAAGGCTTTGTGCGTTGTTGTGTTATATATTAAAATTATAATACGCAAGAAATATCACTTCATGACAACTAATGTACTACCGATGGAAAAGAAAGAAGAAGAGAGCTAAATTTAATTTTATAATTTAAGGGTAAAATAGCAATTTGGTTCAGTTTAATTCAAATTGTAATAGGAATTAGAATACAGTATATGTACAACCAAACAAGCCTAAATAAGTTGTGGCGAACTTGTCAGCGGGTGTGCGTGGGCAGGTGCGAGCAAGGCACTGGCAGGCTACCATGCTGGCATGCTACGGGTACACGATCCCATATTGCCTAGGTGTGAAAAGGGGAAGTGCTATATATGTAGGTGGTGTTATCTCCAAATGGTACGAGGCCTCTTGGGGTAAAATCCAAGAACAAAATCATGCAAGCTCGGGCCCAAAACGGACAATATCATACATATGGTGGAGTGAGTTGTTACAATAGTATCAAAACCTGACTAGCCGAAAGTGTGGCCAACGAGAACGTTGGGCCCTTAAGGGGGCTGATTGTGGCGACCTTGTGGGCGGGTGTGCGTTGGCAGGAGCGAGCAAGACAATGGCAGGCTACAGCAGCATGATCCCACACAGCCTGGGCGTGGAAAGGCATAGTGCTATATATGTAGGTGGTGCTATCTTCAAATGGTATTGAGGCCTCTTGAGGTAAAACCCAAGAACAAACCCATGTGGGCTCGGGCCCAAAGCGGACAATTTCATGCCATGTGGTGGACTGGGTCGTTACATAAGTGCAACTATGAATAGGCTATTATAGTTAAATAGAGCTACACAAAAATTCTGCACAAAGAGACTTGGATCTAGGGCATACAAGTTTGGCAGAGAGGAAACCCTAGAAGATGTTATGGAATGAATCTAATTGAGATAAATGTGTGCGTGTGTTTATATACATGAGCATGAAGGATATATGAATATGTTAGATTTCAAGACAATCTGATGTTTTAATTGAATGTATGAGTGAATTGTAATCTGTTATTGTTAGATTTCATGAGTTTATAGTTGAATACAAGAATTTTAAATTGAATCTTATTCCTGCCTCTCACACCTCACGGTAAAAGTGTAAATAGATAAAAAGAAACCAAACTATGCCAACATGCATGCCAGTCACGAAATATACACAAAACTGCAGAAGGAAGAACAAATTTAATGACAAAATCAACAAATGATAGCGTACAATAGAATATCTATGCTACTGCTCCACTTACAGGCAGGTAGAGTTAATCAGACAATTACTACTGTGGGCGCATTGCATTGGCCAAGCACTGACGTCCGCAGAAGATAAACAAAAGATATCATTGAAGAGAACATTTGCACCAGAGAAATCCAGCCTCAAAGAATTTAATAGGTCTGAAGATTGTTAAGGTTTTATTAGCTTTAAACACCGCCCCCCGACCGAATAATCATAAAAACCAAACTTGAGCCAAGTTTTTAGCTCTGAAAACTTAGAAGCAAAAACATAAAAACAAAAAGTAGACAATTGCACACCCTAGAAAAATGTGCAATCCTTAAAATCTTAACTGAAATATTAAAACTTTAAAGAATGCAAAAAAGCTGATCCAAAGTCCTCAAAGTAAGGTGACAATAATCACAATACTGGTATAGGTACTAGTGAATTTTTTGAATAAAGAAAGGAAAAATAAGAAATACATAAATGAAGTAAAAACATGGAAGTGATAGTGGAGGATACGTATCCTTGGGAAAACTGATGAAGAGGATTCCGACATATAGAACAGAGATCGCCCATTAATCTCAGCTCCTTTAGTGACTCTTCGGAGAGTTTGCAACATCAAACAGCAAGAGCACTGCAATGGCATCTGTAGAGAGACCAAAACCAGAAAAAAAAAAAAAAAAAAAAAAAAAAAAAAAAAAAAAAAAAAAAAATTATAACAGAAGAAAATGATGCTTTAGAACAAATGTTAACGTGCCATTAACTCATCTTTTCACATCAACCATCTACTCTCCTTGCATGAGGAAAAAGAAAAAGAAAAAACAAAGAGAAAATTGAACAAAAAGATCCCACTGTCCAGATTTGGTTACATAACTAATTTGAACTCAACCAATGTTTCAAAAAGTTTGATATGCTCATTCCGCCTTAAAGGCCATCAATAATTATTACAAGTCTATGGTCCCTTATAATGGTCCAAACCCTCCCAGGTATGTTTAAGCCCTGAAAAGTAAACAGGCAAAGTCTTCTTCCTTTCAATAATTTAAAACATTTCATCTGATGAATAAACTTTGTGCGAAATTCTGCTGTCAGTACATTGCAGCAATATAAGTCTCCTAGCTTGCTTCACAGATTAGTGCCATCAACTTATCTTAGTTTCCACCAAGCTTGGTTGAAAGACTAGAGAAACCAAGACAAATTCCCACTTTTGTCTCGTTGTCAGCATTATCTGGTCCAGGATAATTATCCAATGTGCAGTTTACTTAAATATGTAATCATTGCGTGAGTTGTCGCTAGTTTGGGGCAATTTGTTGACTGGTCTACCTTTGTCCTAGTGGGTTTGGGTCTAAACTCCCAACCCTGAGGTCAGGGGTTCAAGCCTGGTAGCAAGAAAAGAAAAAAATTTGTTGATTTTGCCTGTACATAAGAATCTCAGCCAACACTTATAATTTGTATTTCCTCCATCCCAAACAACAATCCACTTTGAAAAAGCACAAAGTTTTAGGAAATAGAGTTAAAGCATTCATACTTAATAATATACTTCAGAATTCCACTTCTACCATTGTGATTTGGCATTATTTATCGTCAATTTATAATTTCTTCTGTGAAGTGAGTGTTGACTTTTGACTGTAGACAAAAGTTTTAGACATCCAAAGATTAAATATGCTAACCATAATTTTGAGACAGAGGGAATATCAAATTGATAGAAGGTTTGAAAATATGCAATATGTTATTTCTATCCAGTAACGATAAGGTCTTATTAATCCATTAAAATATATATATTTTTAATGATACGTCTTATGAGAACAAATAATCCTCTTTTACTTATGATTATCTCTCACCTTCGAACTTACTCTATACTGCCTGGAAAAAGAAAAAAGAACACTGACAAAAGAGAATTTGATGTCAAAGTAGAAGATTGGGTTTACTTATTATTATTACTATTATTATTACCACTACTACTACTGTTATTATATTTAAAATAAATCTTTGGGGGATAACTTAATCATTAGCTATATGAGTTTCTCTCATTAACATGAGAAAACTACTATGTAGTCAAATTAACTCAACAGTGCATGCAATGAAGTTATTCAGTGAGGAGAGTTGCCATTTGGGATTCAGTTGTGGATTGGGTAGAGAGGAAACTTGCATGTTGGAAGAAACAGTAATTATCGAAAGAAGGGCATATTACTCTCTTGAAGATCACGCTTTCGAATCTTCCAACCTACTTCCTTTCCTTGTTCCAGATGCTGATTTCTGTAGTGAAGAGGATTGAGAAGTTGCAGAGGAACATATTTGTAGGCCGATGCAGCTAGTGGGGGGGTTGGGGATCTGGCATCTGGATATGTTCAACAAGGCATTGTTGGGTAAGTCGCTATGAAGGTTTGGAGTGGATAGGCAATCCCCTTGGAGGAGGGTTATTTTTAGTAAGTTTGGGAAGCCGGAGGTGCATGGTGCTCCTTGGAGGTCCCTGGCTGGAGTAAGGGAGTGGAAGAATCATCTGAAAGGGGAGCCTTGATTTCCCTTTGGCCGGATGAGTGGTGTGGCGGGCGACCACTTTCGGATGCTTTCCTGAGCCTCTTTCGGATAGCAACGAACAATTCTTTACAGTGGCAGCTAGCTATCGCCTTGATAGCCATTAGAGTGGTTTGGGATATTCAGTTTGAGACACTTTCAGGATTGGGAGGTGGAGGATGTTGTTCAGTTCTTGGCTTTGTTCTATAGCCAGCAGTTAGGCAGAGAGAGGGGGAAGATGTGTGGATTTGATCAGCAGCCTCCCACGTGAGATTTGAGGTTCACTCCTTTTATAGGAGTCTGATGGATGTGCAGGGTCCTCCTTTCCCTTGGAAGGCCATTTGGTGACAAAAGCACAGTTGACGGTGGCTTTTTTTGGGATGGACAGCAGCCTTGGGTAGAATTCTGAAGATCAATAATTTGAGGTGAAGGTGTCAGATCATTGTTAATTGTTGCTGCATGTACAAAGGGGGACAGTGAATCATCTCTTCCTCCTTGTCCAGTGGCCAGTGAGAGTTGTTCATGTTGACTTTAAGATATAATCAAATCAAAAGTAAGTGATAAAGAAGCAAAAGACAAGAAAGCGGATGAGAGAAAAAGAGAGAGATGGGGAAAGAGAGAGAGAATGAAAGAATACTTTCATCCTTCCACCACATTCTATTTATAATAACAAGTTTCAGAAATTACACAAAAGCCCCAACATTATATAAGTAATAACAAATAAGGCCCTGACAACACTCCCCTCCAAGCTGGTGTAAAGATATCTATCATACCCAACTTGACTAACATATTTTGCAAGCAAGTCTTGCTCACACCCTTAGTCAAAACATCAGCAACCTGATCATGTGTATTAACATATGGAGTACAACTTCATTGACTCGCGAACAGGATAACCCAACTCACCCAACATCGTACGTAACCAAAACAATTCACAAACTCCATATGCCATGGATGTGAACTCAGCCTCTGCACTAGATCTAGCTACTACAGACTGTGACTTGCTTCACCATGAAACAAGATTACCTCCAACGAATGTGCAATATCCTGAAGTAGATCATCGATCTGTCACAGATCCTACCCAATCAGCATCAGTATAGGCTTCAACACGCAAGAGGCCATGACTACCAAACAATATCCCGTTGACAAGTGAACCTTTAAGGTAGTGAAGAACATGATGAGCTGCCTTAAGGTGAGGTGTACGTGGAGCATGCATAAACTGACTAATCACACTAATAGGCAATATCGGAGCGCGTGAGAGATAAGTAAATCAGTCTCCCAACCAATCATTGAAATCTTCCCACATCATCTAATGGGCCTATGGTTTTGCTCAATGGGAATATCAATAGGTCTAGCTCCAAGCCTGCCTGTTTCAACCAACAAATCTAACACATACTTCCGTTGAGAAATTAACACCCCTTTCTTCGATGAAGATAGTATGATCTGCCTGACTCTGTGTGTACCCTACTCTTTCCATAGCAGTGTTGAACCTCTCAAACCAAGCACGTGGTGACTGCTTTAACCTATACAAAGCTTTATTTAGCTTGCACACTAAGTTCTGACCATTGGCAAGCTTAAACCCTGGTGGCATAATCATATACATCTCTTCCTCCAAGTCACCATGAAGGAAAGCATTCTTTACATCCAGCTAATATAAGGGCCAATTCAATTTAGCTGCCAAAGAAAGAAGAACACGAATAGAGTTCATCTTGGCAACTGGAGCAAATGTTTCCAAATAATCAATTCCATAGGTCTGAGTGAAGCCCTTTGCAACTAACCAAGCTTTATATCTCTCAATTGTTCCGTCTGTATGATACTTTATTGTGTAGACCCATTTGCAGCCTTCTGGTTTCTTAGGCCTAGGTAATGGAACAATATCCCAAGTACCATTCTTCTCAAGGGCCTTCATTTCTTCAAGCATAGCTTTCTTCCATGGAATTTGACTGAAAGCATCTAAAACACTAGAAGGAACAGATACAGAGGAGATACACGAAGTGAAAGCACGATATGTTGGAGATAAGGCATCATAGGATACAAACTGATATATAAGATGCTTTGTACAACTACGAACACCCTTACGATAGGCAATAGGGACATCAAGATCAACAAGAATGCTATTAGGAAAAGAATCAGGAGTATCAATGTCAACTAAGGAATTACCTGGATTGAGGGAGACTTCATGGTCCTGGGGTAAGTCAATAACTTGTTTTGCCCTCGTAATGTAGACAATTGGAAGTTTTCCTTACTGCAAATAATTAGTGTTACGAGGACTAGACAAAGGCACCTCAGGAAGGAGCTCCCCCTGAATATAAACCTCCCCCTGAATGGGAACAAGCAAAGGAAAGGGGCATTCCGTCTGAAAGGACAACGGATTCTCTACCTGTATAGTAGTTTCCCCCTGTAGAGAATCTCGAGCAGTGGAAAAAAAGGGAACTGACTCAAAGAATGAAACATCCATGGAGACAAAGCGACGACGAGTGGTAGGGTTATAACACCGATACCCTTTCTGAGTGGCGGAGTATCCAAGAAAGACACATCGGATTGCCTTAGGGTCCATTTGTCCTTGCGATGATGAATGTGAACATAACAAACACAACCAAACACTTTCGAAGGGACAGTAAACAAGGCTGTCTCATGGTGTAAGACAAAGAAGGGGGATTGATTGCCAAGAACCTTAAAATGCATGCGATTGATAAGGTATGTAGCTATTAAGGTTGCATCAGCCCAATAACTTTTAGGCACTCCCATCCCAATTAGAAGAAAACGGGTCACCTCCATGATATAACGGTGTTTTCTTTCAACTACACCATTTTGTTGTGGTGTATTGACACAAGAGGTTTGATGGGCAATCCCGTTATCAGCAAAAAGGGAGGCAAGACCACCATACATAAACTCTCCTCCATTATCAGATTGAAGGATTTTGAGAGGACAACCAAACTGAGTACATACCATCCTATGAAAGATTTTAAAAATGGAATGAACTTTATCTTTGGTTTTCATAAGATAAAGCCAAGTATATCGACTAAAGTCATTAACAAACACAACAAAGTAATGAATTAGTAAATTCAGGACCCCACACATCATAATGAACAAGCTGCAAAGGAGCTGTATTTTTATTAATACTAGTAGGATAAGAAA